TGTCAACAGTCCAAAATCAATAGGTACAACAGAATGAAGCCAAACAAATTTGCAAAAACCGATCAGCGATTCAACCATGTCCAGCTGGATTAAATTACATTACCAAAATGTCAGGGTTATAGATACGCATTAACCATGATTGACAGGTTTCGTCGATAGCCAGAAGTGACACCCTTAAAAGACATGACCGCAGATACAGTAGCCGTAAATTTCTATGCAACCTGGGTATCCTGGTTTGGTGCGTCGAAAGTAATAACAACAGACCAGGGAACACAATTCGAAGCAGATCTGTTGCAAACTTTGACTGACCTGTTAGGAACTAAACGAATCCGCACTACGCCTTATCATCCAGCAGCGAATGGCATGGTAGAGAGGTTCCACCATACGCTAAAAGCAGCACTAATGGTTACGAGTATCAGTGAAGGAAAACATAGAAGCATCTGCTGCAGAGATGATTTATGGTATCAACCTCCGTCTGCCTGGAGAATTCTTTGAACATAATATCCAATCAACTTCGTCAACGCCTCCTAATCAATCAAATTTCCTAAACAAATTTCGTGAATATTTACGTGAAGTACAACAAACGCCAGCAGCGCATCATAGCCACAGGCGAATTTTCATACACAAAGAACTCAACAATTGCTCACACGTTTTTCTGCGTTCAGATGACATCAGAAAACCACTAGAACCACTAAATACAGGACCGCATAAAGTATTGAACAAAAGAAGTGAACGAGTGTTCACAATTGAAGTAGGTGACAAAAAGTTGGACGTTTCAATCGAAAGATTAAAGCCAGCGTTCCTGGAAAATACAGGTGTTCCATCAGAATTGAAGTTCTTAGAAATCTTGTTAGACAATCCTAGGCCAAAGCATACACACCACCAGTAAGAAGCACGAAGAAAAAAGTTACAATCGCCGAAGACTCGCTTCAATTAAACAACAGTCCATTGCAGTCAGACGTCATAGACAAAAAGAAGGTCACACTCACACGTAGCCTTCATCACAATCCTCCGGCTATCTTCTAAGGGGGAAGTACTGTGGCGGATGTGGCAACCACAGATAATTATTAAGACACGGAAAGCACGATGCCAACGTTGTAACTTCGCAAGCAAAAACATGTAAAAGCAGAACACAAGTAAGCATCACTCTTTTTTGCATTCGAGCCGTCAGCGAACAAGGACACAAGAAGTTATAGTGGAACAAGTAAACCATATATATATATATATATAAATTTGTGTATATATATATATCTATATATATAAATATATATTTATATATATAATATATATATATATATATATATATATATATATATATATATATATATATATATATCAAGTTTTTAAAGAGAATAAATAGAATAAAAGAGTTATTCTTTAAGAGTTGTTACGTTACTTATAATAGTTATAACAAACCGGCTTAAGCACGGAAAAAGCCGATACTCGTATTTCAAATCAGTCATTGTTTTAAGCTTTCACCGAAGAACATGACAATCAATTTGTATATTGCTATTACCTGAACAAATTACATAATATACTTAAATGAAAAAGACCAGAATTGCTCAACAGTGAAAGTGTGAAGTTCTAATACAATAATGCAAGACCTTATACCAGTTTGGTTAAACTGTTACGGGTTGAATGACATATTCTGTGTCTGTTATTTAAATGGCATGTTCTGCATCTGTTATTTGTTTATTTCCGTCTCTACAAAATTTGAATGGCAAAATTTTTGCTTCAAAGTTCAATCAGTTGGTACGTACTATAAGAACGTAGGTTAAAGAGAAATGCATAACCAATCACCTCTGTGTATTTGATAGGAACGAAATAAACAAAAACGGCGAACTTAAGCGAAAAATAGAAAAATCCAATTCAATTAGGTTTTCTACGCAGGCGAATTTAAAATTTTTTTATCAGTTTCAGTATTCAATATGTTTAGCAACATTAGCAATTTGCTTAACATTTTCCTGATCACGATTATTGATATTTCACAATATTTTGTAAATTATTTTTGATTAATTTACTAAAAATGTTTCCTTGTAAAAATAATATAGAACATGTAATGTTACTAACCAAAATTGACTTCAATTTTCAGTACTATTTAAATGTAAAAAAACAGCTGCTTACGTATGCACTAATTGCACTTCAGAAATTTTAATCTGGTTTCTGCTTGAGTTTGTTCAATTTTTTACGGTACTTACTAATAGAATGAACTTTCAAATTAAAATTCTTTTTCAGAAAAATAAAAAAAAAATTATCAGCGTGAAATCCTGCTACAGCCAGAAAGATGGTAGAAATGTTGGAACATAATGGACAATATAAATTCAATAAAATATTTATATTGTATTGTATATATGTAAATACAATTTGCACAAAAGAATTTCATCAAACGTGAATTACTTGGTTTCATTACCAATAAAGAACAAATTACAAAACCTTCAGTGTGTTTGTCTTTATTATTTTTTATTATTCAATGTCGCTATTAGTTATGATATTGAAAATAAGTAAAATATTTCCAGTAATGTAATGAGTTACATGTACTGCTTATGGAATTTTTTATATGGTTAGAACAGGATGTTTTCTTTTTTTATTTTTAATGATTATGTGCAATGTTATGTAGAAAATCCTGGTCACACCACAATTGAAATTGTTGTTGCTTTCAAAGCAAATTAAAAAAATAAGAGTGAGAAAAAAAATGTTGGTATAAATTTAGTTACGCTGACGAGGCTTAGTGTATCTCGTTGATCAAAACAGTGTTGATCAGAAATAAATGGTAACACCTTTTAAGAGCAAATTATTACAAATTTAATACAACTTGGAGAAAAATTCCAGAAAACAACATAGCCAATTTTATATACCACATATAATTGAATTCTTTAATTTTCCGATTTTAAGGAAAGGTGTATACCTTGTTAGTATTGTTAGCAGTTAATATAAAATAAAACAATAATAAATTAACATTTTTAAAGTTTATATGAGTTAATTTTTAGTAATAAATATTTAGCAATAACCAGCTAATGTTCAAAACACAACAACGATGTGTAGACACAGCTACTGTTCTAGGCAAAAAAAAACGATGTGTTGACGCAGCTTATGTTCTAGGCACAATAACGATATGCAGACGCAGTTGCCATTGTGTAAGGCACAATAACAATGTGCAGATGCAGTTAGTGTTCAAGGCACAATAACGATGTGGGGTTTATAGGATGTGGTTATACTAGGCAACGCTACTGTTTTTGGAAAAGCAATGGCCAGGTAAAATTCTTGTGACTGTTCACACCAAATAAACTCTCACCTCCACGTGGTAATCCTGGGTAGCTGTTAAATCCCCATCTGACAGTGTGCTAACGGAAACGGCGGATTGGAACCCTTGATTCCAATTGCAATGGACTGGAATTATTTATGAACAACGATCATTAAGATTGAGCCCAGTAAGGTCTTAATTATGATATACTAGAAGATGTAAAATAAATTTGAATTATGCACTTGGAATGCTGGGGATGTCGTTCTAGAACCTGAGTACTTAGAAGTGACTCTTTATGGAAATGGCTTCTGGTATAATGGTATTCCTGCCGCCGTCCCGAATACAGAACAAAAACAAACCAGCAACATAAAAACAACAATGTTGGAAAAAGATGCTAATAGTGTACCCAACCACGCTGCTAGCATGGCGCGGCTATTGCTGTTGAGACGTTGCAGAACCATTCCTCAAATCGTCGAGATTAGCAGTCAAATCTGACTGTTTCTCCCAAATCTTCCCCTGAATGAAGCAGACGCCAAGATACCCCAGGACAACGACTCGCAAACAGATAAAAAACGCCATAGAAATTAGAAAAAAATGGCGGAAGGCTTAACAGTAAGAGAAGCGGATGATGTAATTCATACTGTACTTGCACAAAAATCTGAAAAGCCTCCACAGAAAAAAGTTACTCTACCACAGGAGTAGAAAAAAAAAAGAAACCGTGCCTTCGAACCAAGGCACCATTATTGGTGAGGAGGTGAGAAGGTACGCGGATATCCTTAGAACCATAAGAATGGACACATCGTTTAAGAAACTTGGCGACTAGGTCAAGCGTGTCTGCAAGACTGCCAAAAATGAGCTGCTTTTGGAGCTCAAAAAGGCTTCAAAAACTAACACTGGTTTTTCAGTCAGCAGTGGAGACTGTGTTTGATGACTCGCTGGAACGCTGCGGAGGACTTAGTGACCGGCAATTCAGTTTCCAAAAGGCACGTTCATTAGGGTGTTCCTTATTTTTCGAGGTGTTGAATTTCTAACGCATAGGTCTTAGTGTTGTTCGTTTGCATCTAAAACACTCGGAAATAAATTTTTACCTTATTTAGAGTACGATAACCAGTGCCGACTTGCATCGAATCATATTCATATATGCTACGCGTGAGTAGCGGTGCTTATTCACAACATTTGTCATTTGTTCTCAATTATTCTCGCGATTAATACGTATTGTTTTACATTTAAAAAAATGGCAGTGGAATTAAGAAGCAATAAAAAATATGTTTTCTTACTTGGTAACGTAATTTATCAAATAACAAGCGCAAAGGCGCCGTTTAATCGTCTTGCAGTACTTTTTTTTAACATTCTCGAAGTTGAATTGTTAGTGAAATCGCTAATCTCGTCATTCGGGAGTGTATTATATTTTGGGAAAAAGTTAGAATCCCTACCAAAGCATTACTTAACTGTGTAAAAAAACTTGTAGATCTTCACCATGCATGGAGGGAGTTGCAAAAAAATTCTGAAAAAATACAAGATATTTACAAGCGCCATGAGGACGACTTTAAGAACAATTTTAATTTGCATAATTTATTTAATATAGCACACGCTGATGCTTTGGAATAGATGAAAATTAAAGAAGATAAGATATTTTGTACAAGAACAAAGAGAACCAGGGCGTCCAGGGTGTTTAGCGGGTGTAGACAAAAAGTAAGCCGAAAAAGAAGAAGGATCAAGATAAAGGAAATTAAATGAAGAGAAAAAAAGATGTGAGCAAATGTGTTTTGAAGGTTTATCGTCATCTGTTACTACGCATGATTCTATTCAAATGCAAGGACATCACGATCAACTTACCAGCTCTGATGATGAAAGCCTTGAGAAACCCTCATCATCCATCTCTCAAATGGTAAATTCTGAAACTACTACAAAAAGAGAAAGGTAAAACTTTATAACACCTAAGTTAGTTGCAACTTCATTATGTCTATATACTTTAGGTTATAGTAGAAAGCACTAGATCTTAGTTGTGATTATTTTTCGATAAATAAATCGTCTATTCAACGTATTCGCACACAGAGTCAAAAAGGTAACGGTGGCGTAGCCACTTCCACAATTACCGATGTTGCAAATGTTGACAATGTAGATTGTTGTTCTTCGAAAACAACTTTCGACGGTGCTTCAGATGCATATTGATTAATTTGATGTGTAAGAGATTGATGATAAATACTAGTCCAATACCTAAATATTGAACTGAAATAACAAACTCTTTCGGTAATAGATTTAGCCAATATGGTGTACTTAGATTTGTTGCCTACCTGTTGGTATGAAAATCTAGTTAACTGTTATTTCATATTTTGTATAAAGCTAGCATCTAATCGTTGGCAGCGTTCATCAAGTAATGCACAACAATCTGACCATTTAAGTGGTTTTCTGTAATCCGAGTGTTCAACTTATTTTAAATCTATTGAATTAAAATGCTCTAAAATATTATTTGCTAATTGTCAAAGTTGAACAGCATCAAGTTTATGACATATGACATTAATGATTTAATTTTTTTTTTTTTATTTATTTTATTTTTTATTTTATTTTATTTATTTTATTTTTTATTTTATTTTAAATGCTTTTTGCTTCATTGTTGAAATTATTTCAGTTGTTGAAATTATTTCAGTTGTTGAAATGAATGTATTGTTGTCCACAAAGTTTAATTTATAACCAGGTCACGTTAAACTGTTCACAGCTATGTTGCATGCTTCAGCAACTATAATAAAGTTAGAGGAATAGGCATGGCGTGGTTTCTCTTATAACTCTAAAAAATTCTTTTGCTTAAAGTAAAAATAAACGGCACGACCGGTCTTGCTTTAGGTTCGATAAGACTTGTAAACAGACCAAAATAGAAATAATCAGAAAAAAGCAGAACGCCCTCGCGTGTAAAATGAAAAAAAAAAAATTGAATCAAGTTTTATGAATTTTAGGACCTGAACGATAACAAACGACTGGTTGACACGTTGCTTTTAGTATTAATCAATTCAAAATTATGAGGTAAACATAACTTAAAAGCAATAAAAATAACATCTAACTTATTTAAGTTCACATATAAAAAAAACTTTAGTGAAAATTTCGTTGATAACTTACCAGTCTCACCGTAGATGCGGACGTTCTTTTCTGCATTTTCCACTAGCAGGTATCGAATTAAAGATCTTTTTAGCAGAGCCTTTTTTCCACTTACACCATATGATCAAACCAACAGAGCCACTGAATTTTAAAAAACTTAACTATGTCAATGTTAAGGTATTGCTCATACAACTAATCATTTCATCAAATTCTATATTCGCTTTCAATGATAAAGGAATCATGCTTTTAAGGCATTCTCATCACTTTTGGTTTTTGTTCTTCTGTATCATATCGCAGAATTGTTACTCGTTACATTTCGAAGTTGTTGTCATTTTTGTTGTTTACGATGGTTCCCAAAAAAACTAAGTCTGTGAAACTTCGAGCTTATAGTTGGCAACAGTAGTATGGATCCTAAGACACTTAAAAAATTTGTTTATTGACAGAAAGCACATTGCTTTTCCCACATTCACCACATGACTTATTTGCTTGGCTTATTTTTTTAAGTTCAAAGAAACCGTACTAATGGCGCGAGTGTACCTTTTGCTAACTACTCTGCTAATTACTTGAATCGGTAAAAGGGAATTCGCCGAAGGATCTAAAAACCATACCTGCACGGGCCTACGAAAAGTGTATGGAAGATTGGGTTAAGCGTTGACATATGTGTATCGCTTCAGAAGAAGCATATTTTGAAGGAGATAAAATAAATTTCGAATAAACTTTAAATTTGTGTGTTTTATTTACAAAATCCGAATACTTTTTGAGCAGAAGGTACAGGCCAGCAATATCAATATTATCAAAATACACTGGTGCTCAGTTTATTGTGTAAATCATTAGATTAACGTTATAACACTTTGTAATGAACTTTGCGATCCCTTATGGAACCACCAATACCCGCTTTATAATCTGAAAGGTGGTTGATTTTACACAGCACAGTTAAAAGGATCTAGTACGTGATAAGATCAATCATCGCAACGAATTTTTTTGTAAAGAACTGAGATTCAAACGTGGTCATACTTTTATTCCAATATATTCTGCAAATAAGCTGATGTGTGCTCTGTATCAGAATATCGCTGCCGTACTTAATTAATTTCGCAGGTAGATCATCTGCACCTTCCGTCTAGTTGTGATTTAGTCCCTATATAGTAATACACAGTTTCTTACTGTTACGTGGTGGAATTTTACTACTATCATTTTGGATTGGGCAATTCAAGAGGATTTCTCCAAAGGCGGAATTGATCTTATCGTAGTAGATAATAGCTCGAAAAAATGTTTTTTGCATATTTTCAGAACATTCTGATTATCTGTATTTTTATTTATGTACACCTCCATTTTGTTTTGCTTGCGACCTTTTGAATCCTATGGTTAGCATAGCTGCTGTCTGTAAGGTATTTTTACATGCTGCGTTCTTCGTAGCATACGACTTGCGATACTTTTTATCGTGCCATTGTTGTGGAGGATTACTAAGAAACTCGTAGCCTTATTTTACTATTTCTACGATGGTTCTGATATAATATATGGGATTGTTATACAATATGAAATCAATGTCTTACCTAGAAAAAATCTAGAATTAAGGAATCTAATAATACATCACCAAATTGAAAAACTGGAAATACTATAATAAATGTGACCGTCGCTTAAAGAATTTCAAAAGTGAATAATTTAATTCAGCAATTATTTACTTTTAATATACATAAGGCAAATACACAAAACATAATTAAATCGGAAAGAAAATTATATAGTGTTATTATCAAAAAACAAAGTGGAATATTTCCAATATTCATATTTACAAATTCGTAAGTTCTTGAATGGAGTATCGAAATAAATATATTTTGTGAATAAGTAAAATCTCGTAGCGAATATATATGTTACAAAAAAAAGTTGTTGTTGTAAATAACGATAAAAATTTTATTGCTTAAAAATTTGATATATCTTCTTTATTTCACTATCCTTATATTATATATATATTCATTCGGGCAAACAAACTCTCTTTGATTGGACTTTAAGAAAGAATTTTTTTGGTTTTTTTATTAAATTGAGAAAAAGTATATTTTTGTTATTCCACAGATCATTAGGTAATTAATTATTATTACAATTAAAAAATTTAAAAAGAGTTATTATTTGTTATTATTTGAGTTATTATTTATTTTATGTTATTTTAACATTTTTAATTATATATTTTTAGACTGGCTACAGTTTCGGCTATGCTTTTGTCGATTTCGCCAATGAAGCAGATTCCCAACGTGCAATTAAAAATTTAAATGGCATTACCGTTCGAAACAAGCGTTTAAAGGTTAGTCAATTTAAAAATTTGAAATATATACATTATGAATTCGAAAAATCTTGTACTTTTTATATTAAAGTGAAAAAGTGTCAGAGATTAATTGAAAAATATTTCTCAAATGTTTGCTCTTTCAGTTCAAACATTCCAATACTCAGAACTTTGTTGATTTGTGAGTATTTCATGTTTTAGTTTTTTGCTGATAATAAAATGAGTGTTTCGAAGTCAGTGACATCAATGACGAAACAAAAAACCAAAACAAAAAAGGACTAAAAATGGAATAATAACAGGTTTCTCCTTAAGTTTAATTTACTCTTAACAACTCAAGTACTCGTACTACAAGGAAATCTGTAAGCAATAAGAAAAAACCAAATAGATATCTTAAACAAATTTAAAGGCAACCAAAAATAAACCAGTCTTGGTAAACATTAGCTTGGCAAGTCCATTAAAACAGCTGTTATCAGTAATTGTTTGTATAACTTCAAGTTAGTAATTAAGGAACAAGAAAAAATACAAGGCTTCTACCCGGAAGATTACAAAACATAAATATACAAAATAGATTACAAAAGATATATTTCTTTAACTGGTTTTTTCATTCAAGCGATTTAACGCCTCTCGTTTATTGTTTATGGGGCTATGCTAAGACGTTATTTATTGATTCTGACTAAACTCATTAACTCTGAGAAGCATTGTAAGCGAATGCTCATGCCACAATTGACGCTATACGGTCACATTTATTGTAAAAAATAGTCAAAAATTGGACTAATCTAATGAACCATATAACTTGTAGCCGCTCAAAAAGTACCCGGATTTTGTAAATAAAACACACAAATTTAAATTTTATTCGAGATTTATTTTATCTCCTTCAAAATATGCTCCTTCTGAAGCATTACACATATACCAATGCCTAACCCAATCTTCCATACACTTTTCGTAGGCCCGTGCAAGTATGGCTTTTAGTTCCTTCAGCGCATTCAATCGACTTGAAACGCTTACCACATAGGGGCAATTTGAGTTTTGAGAACAGGTAAAAAGCGCCATAGATGCTATACGCACTGCACCAGATCTGGCGAATATGGTGCCCGAGCGATGATAGTGGTGCCGTGTGTGGTCATAAAATCGCGTAAAACAAGAGTCATGTGCGATGGACCATTGTCGTGGTGAAGAATCCAATTATTGGCTTTCCACAAATTTGATCTTTTCTTATGGATGGACTCACGCAAATGCCGTGTAACGACGAGGTAACATTCTTTGTTGATGGTATGACCCTCTGACAAGAATTCGTAATGAACAACATCGCGGTAGTCGAAAAAATCAGTGAGCATAACTTTAATTTTCGAGTGAGTTTTGCGCTGTTTTTTTATTTTTGGTTGTTTTCGAAGCGCCATTTGCTCGATTGTTGACTGGTTTCGACGTCTTACTCATAAATCCATGTCTCATCACCTGTTATGATGCGTTTCATGAATGAAGAGTCGTGTCCATGCTCAAAAATTATTTCTTTACACATGTTCTTTCGGTATTCTTTTTGCAAAAAATCAAGGTGTTTCGGAACAAGCTGTAACGCGTCTCATGCCCAATATGTTGTGTAGAATGTGATGAATGGATCCATTTGAGATATTTAAATCACGAGCAATCTCCCTTTCAGTCGTACGACGATCTTCCAGCACAATTTTCTTGATTTTTGCCACGTTTTCTTCGGTATTTGATGTTGATGGACGTCCACAAGGAGGCAAATCTTCGATTACCTCACGACCCTCTTTGAATGATTTATACCACTCATATGCCTGTGTTCGAGACATAGAAGAGTCCCCGTAAACTTTCTGCACCATCTTCAATGCTTCAACACATGAAATTTCGTTCAAAACACAAAATTTCAAACAAACTCGTTGTTCAACTGCATTTTTCATAGTAAAAATCGCTAAATAATGGCGCTCAAATTTGTACCATATGTCAAGAAAGGGTACAAACATAACAAAAAAAAAATTTTTTTGAAAAATGTTTATTATTTAAGGAGTAGTTAACAAAATCCGGGTACGTTTGGAGCAGAAGTCAGTACATATGCCATGAAATTATCTACCAGATTTTAATAAAAAAACTTTTATACCAACTATATTTGTCTTGTATTATAACTTTATGTTCTCATGCAGCTACAAACACACGCGATATATACCAAAACAAAACAGGATTTCATAGTTATTCTTCAAAATTTTGCATCCCTCAATATAGATGAAATCTCAACTATTTTGCTGAAACTGGATCATTGTATGAAAAATATATGTGTAAGATATTTTTTTTTCGATTTTATTTATTATGGATTGAGTGTTCAATTAAATTAATACAATCACGAGTTTTAAAAAAGTACATACATATATTTTATTTATCATTACAACTAAATAATTAATCGAGATTAAAATTAAATAAGATACAAAACAAAACACGTCCGATTCGACTTAGCTGCTATCGCGAATGAAATGTCGCAAAAGTTCTACACAAAGTTGGACGTGTTTTGCGTGTTTTTTGTGCCTTTGCATCCAGCATAATAAATCATTCAAAATTCATTTCTTGTTAAGCAGTGCGTATAGCATCTATGTCGAAGTCGTCGCTAGGAATGGAAACTAACAGAGCTTTTAAATTGAACGTTTGTATACGCCATGTTTTATTTGTAGCTACTCTTGTCAGTCTATCAGCACTAGGATGGAGTTCTATGATTCGACCCAGAACTCATTCATGTGACGGGAAGTGGTCATCCTTGAGGAAAACAAGTTCGTTCAAGCGTAGATTTAAATTTTCGGTATTCCATTTTGAACGTGTCTGTAGATGAAAAAACCAGTCGGATTTCTATCGAACCCAAACTCTGCGTACGATACATCCCAAAATGGCATATTGGTGTTTAAGTGATAAATGGCTTGTAATACCATCGGGACGCGTTTAAAATGTGTCACCTATTAGAAAGTGAGCCGGCGTTAATATAATAATAAATCCTCTGGATCCGAGTTGACCTGACACAATGGTCTACAATTAAGACATGCTTTGATCTGGATCAAAACCATTGATAATTCTTCATATGTTAGCGGTACGCCAAAGATAGTGTTTTACGGATTTAGTATTGACCTCCTATAACCCGCTGAAATTTGGTAATAGTGGAGAAGTAAAATGCTATTGGATTTGCCGATTGGTTAAATAAGCCACTATTACTTGTTCTATATCTGTCTTGCATTGTTGCTGTTGAATTACCCGATTTATTCCAACAAAGTTGGTACCAGAAGCGTTATATATGTCATTACAAATTCTACGACGCCCTATAAAATGTTGTAATGCCTGACGGAAGTAGTCAGAACTCAGGTCGGTTACAGCTTCTAAGTGAATGGCCTTAGTCGCTAAACAAATAAAGATGGCGATATACTCTTTATATTTAGCGTTTTCTCTAAATAGTGATGACTTCAGTACTATAGCTGCGGTGTAATCGACGCCTGTCGCGAAAAATGCCAATATGGAGGATTCATACGATAAAACGGTAACTCACCCATTAGTTGATTTTCTGGCTTAAGTTTACAACGAAAACATGTTACATACCGAAGAATTTGCTGTTTTATCACGTATCGTGCATTCACAATCCAAAACAGTAACGTCAGTATGACAGTGTTAGTTTAATACCACCATGCAGGGTTATATGATGATTTTGTTTGATGATTAATTCGATGACAAAATGATCCTTTGAAAGAATAATTGAATATTTTCTGTTGAACGGTTCATTCACATTTGCAAACCAGTCACGAATTCTCAAAATATCGTCTTCATCATGCCAGGGTACAAAATTGCGTAAATTACTATGATGTGCTAAAGGCCGTGATGCTTTGATTGACTTAATTTCTTCATGGAAAAATGTACAGAAACATTTCGCATGATAATAGTTTGTCTAAATTGTAATTCGGTAAAGGAGAGTGGAACTTGCAAAAGTTGATTGCGATTTTATTTTCGATCATTGAACGTGAAAAGTGAAATATAAGCAAGTAGTTGGTGTTTTGAAAATTATGAAAACTTGGTAGGGAGCGATTTTTCTCTAATGCTGATGTTTGCATATAAGTGTGATCCCTTTAATTCAAAATCTACTGTTGGAATGTTGTCATCTAGAATATAGGTTGACCAGGCTTCTTTTGGAATTTGCAACCATTTTCTACTATTCCACCTTAAATCTAAATCCTTTAACTGCTGAACGATGAGTCCACTTGTGGGGCAATCCGCCGGATTCTCAAAAGTGTTAACATAACACCATTGCGATGCAGAACTCACTCTAAGAATCTGTCCCACTCGATTACTTACAGCTTTTTTCTGCCCATGCAAGTCCCCCTTAAACCAGTGCAAAACGACTTGCGCATCTGTCCAATAGTGTTGGTATACATTAGTAGGAATAGATGTATGTTTCATTACCCAGAAAGTTAGTTGGGTTGCCAATACTGCACCACAACGTTCAATTCTAAAATATAAACTAACCACAAAATGCATGTACTTGAAGCGTAACAAGTTGTGATGATACCCCAGTCATCTTAGTATAATTATGGTTTTCAAGTTTTGTAATTCAGTAAGAAATGCTTGCCATTATTTTTCGAGGTCTGGCGGTAACGGATCATCCCAGTCTTACGATGCTAAATTTTGATCCTCAATTAAGTGTTGATAAGAACACACTGCCTTAAAAATAATTTTTCCTGTTACCTATTCTGGGTTAGGACTGCTCCCTAATGGATCAAATAGTCTTGTGATGATAGACAATACTTTTTGGTTAGTGAATTAACTATATACTATGATATTTGACTTGAATTTGAATTTATTATCGCTATTATGCCACAACATGCCTAATGTTTTAATAGGAATATTGTTTTGATTGTAATAATTTCGTATTCGATAATTGACTGTCTTGCAGACCTTGAAGAATGCGGCGATCATTGCTCCAAAACTTACGCAGATGCATTCCAGTTGACTTTAATACTGCGATAACTTCATCACGAACTTTGTAA